CCAATGGATGATTTACATAAAACAGAAATAAGAAGTTTAGCCTTGGGTTACCTTCAAAGTTGAAAAGTAATTAGGGCCTATTAAACAATTATAAGTGATGTAATTAAATGCAAAATGCGGTATCATTATTTCAGATACATTATATAATATTAATCAATTACAAACAAATGTATAGGCAGATATTTAGGGGTGGCTCTTAAAAATAAGTTTTAAAAGGAAGTTTATGAAATGTGCCAACCATCACAGAAAGCTTATGGCCATTGTATGTTGTGAATGGGTGTTGCAATTCACATTATGAATGGTGTCTGATCAGAAATGTGTGTAGGTAATTGGGGACACCAGGTCCAAGATGGGGGCCTAATTCTCCCCAGTTGTCCATTTCATGTTGAAAGGCACTATCATGAAACATATTTGATCGTACGTGTCACCATTCTAATTTGAATGCATTCAATTTTAAGAAGTTGTTTCTATGCTGTGAGTTTGATCAATGTAAAAGTCATATTGCCAGAACATTATTCTGAAAGTATTTTAACATAATTGAGAACACCTTTATTACTGTAAACAAAAACTACAGAAATATTTTGGGCCACATTGTTTTAAAATCGTTTCCAAATTTCAGTAAGTTCATTGGCTCCATATATCTCTTTCAAAAAATGTTTGAACTAACTATAACAATCCCATTTTCATTCAAATTGTATTTAAAATGTCTTGATTTGTAACTGTCCCTTATTACCTACACATGTAGGTAATGAGAGACCTTTGGTGATGACGTCATTAATCATTGTTATCTTATTAATCAGTTACATCATGACCACAATTTTGTTACAAAATAAAGAGAAAAAATACTAAAGGGAATACAAAAATGTCTGTATGTGTAACATTGTTCATGTTTATGTAAATTATGCAAATGTGCTTAAGGGTCTTCCATTCCCCACACCTACCCTATCTAAATTTGTACCAAACACGATGAAAGATTATGCAGCACAACTGCAATTGTTGCCCCCAAAAAGCATTTAATATGATTTCAACGTGACATAGATTTAAGAAATTGGCATTTGGCTGGCACATATATTTTATTCAAATTAATATGTTTATAGAGGGCGCTATTTCAAAATATGCAAATAAGCTGGTCATCTATGGCCAAGCAACATCACAAAACATTTTGTTAGTGATGGTCCTAGAGAGATACAGACATTTGGCAGCCAAAAATTTTAGAAAAAATCCTTATTATATATTTATTATTCATTTTTAAAGGAAAATCATGTACTTTGGCGGCTATTTTGTATGACGTCATATATCTTAAATTGCTCAAGGCTGACAGAGTGTCAGCCAACGAAAAAAAATTGAGTCGGTACGGTCGATCACACCGGGACCCGACCGTTGCCGTCGGGTCCCGGTTTCGTTTTTTGAGAACCGGCGCTCCGAAAAAAATAATGAAATATGTAAGAAATTGCAGTTTTGCACACCACTAAAATCAATCCACCCTAAAACTTAAGTATTTAATTGTTACCAATCGTATTCTAGCTCATCCAGAATCAATCCGAACTGCTGATATAAATATGGGTTGCAAAGCAGTTCGCCCCATTGGGTTGTTGTTGCCAGCTGCTAGCTAGCTACTGTACTGGCCGGGTCTCTCGGCAGTATTAATAAATCAGGTTGAAAGAAACATTAATGTTTGAATAATAAAACGACTTTCTAAAAAGTACTTCTTTACAACATACCGATCGAATAATTTTTAAAAGACAAAATATATATTTTTTCTTTGATTTTGAACACCGCATGCTTCTTTTAAAAGCTGAAAATGACTTGGTAATCACAAGAAGTTTCGATACGGATAGCTGTTGCAATGCAAGTTGAGACTAGTCTCGGAAAATGCGCAGTGCTCCTTGTTAGCTATAATGCGTGCCAGAACGAACCCAAACAAAGACGTGATCGTAACGAGAAAAAAATCATTAAAAACTACGAGAGCACAATTGGAAAGACAACTACTCAAAATTATCGTAAGCAGATACATAACTTGGAGGAAGAATACAATAGTTGTCCAAGAAAAGCCACATAAATAGTGATATTTAATGAGTTACTATAGGTACAATCATTATCGGAAGGGCCTGCATGCTGCAATATATCTAAACGTGTTTAAATTGAACACGAGGCAAATACCGCCCTCTACGGTAAAAAGCAGTATAACAAAGGATTCGAGTATTTGCAGCTAGCAGGCCCCTTGCGATAAAAATGTACCCAGTAACTCCTCGATTATCACAATTTCTGTGGCATTTCTTGGGCGATTATTGAATTCTTTGTCCAAGTTAAGTATCTGATTATGGTAATTTTGAGCAGTATATATCTTTCCAATTGTGCTCTCGTAGTTTTTAATGTGTTTTTTCTCGTTACGATTACGTCTTTGTTTGGGTTCGTTCTGGCACGCATTACAGATAACGAGGAGCACTGCGCATTTTTCCGAGACTAGTCTGAACTTGCCTTGCAACAGCTATTCGTATCGAAACTTCTTGTGATTACCAAGTAATTTTCAGCTTTTAAAAAAAAAGCATGCGATGTTTAAAATAAGAGATAAATATTTATTTTTGTCTTTAAAATATTATATGATCGGTATATTGTACAGAAGAATTTTTAGAAAGCCGTTTTATTATTCTAACATTCATATTTTTTGACCAGATTTATTCAACCTGCATAAATCAAAATGGCGGCTCGATTGTAGTCTTTATATTTTTGCTCGAGTTTTTTTACTTTTAGAGGCACGATAATGGCACTAAACATCGCCAATCATGGATGAATATAATGTCAAATGGAAGAATATACCAATCTGTGCCGAGGTATGCGTGTGTTGATTTATTTGACTGATAAAAATGTCACTTTTAAGGGACATACTGATGATATGCGCTTTTTATAGAGGCAAGTGACAAATCCTGCGAGCTGATTTCGGGACACCGGGTCCCGACCGGTGCAAGGCCGTCGGGACCCGGTTTATGAAAATCCCGACATGACTCAGGCCTAAAAAAAATACACGGTGGCGACGGGCGATTCGCCCCCTAAACCTCTGAAATCGCCACGGTAAAAATCAAGACGAGGGCGAAAAAAAATCAATATATCTTGAAAAATCGCCCCCGCCATAAATTGATATTCCCTAGGAATTAATAAATCAATTTATTGATGTGTCTGAGTGAAATCTCCGTTCCAACTACCAACTCCAAAACTAGAAACTTCCATCGACATTTTAAAAGTTTTGTGAGTTGCAGCGGATCGGCGGTCGTACCTACTGTAGCTAGATCTACGGCGGTATCCGCCTGCCTGCGCCTAAGCTCCCGGCGGCCGGACAGGCCACCGGCCCCGATGTAGTTTCGTGCACAGCATGAATGCATACGCAGTTCGCACACATTCACAATACACAGAAAACGTACTAGCTCAGCTCCAGCGCGCGCCCGCACGCTCCTAGTATGAAGCAAATCAGTATTTGCGAGTGACGAGAGCTGAACTGCTAGCGACCAAATTGGTACGTAATATGTTTATTTAGTCTTTTTTCTGGCCCTAATTTGTATCATGGACAATGCAATCCCATTAAAAAAAATGTTATTCCGTCTAAAATTGTGTTATTTATAAGTTAAAACCATTAAATGCGAGTATATTTTTACTGTTGTCCCACATACTGATATTTTTGTTATCACGAAACGTGCAAAATCAATGCCGGATTTTTTCCTGTAAAATCGGTATAAAGCAAGTTTCGTACACAGAAATTGAATTTTGTTATAAAAAAACCGTAAATAAATATATAAAGGATGTTCCTACTCCTCAGAATTTTTCTTACAACTGTTTAATTAAATTAAATTATTTATATACGATCGATGCCAGGCCAATTGTCATGAGTGATGACATCAATTTCTGTCTACGAAAAGAAGCTAGCTTTGGCTTGGCCTTTAGAATTAGAGTCTATAAAAAAAAAATAAGGCCATGATTTTGCATGTTTCGGCATAACAAATACATCGGTATGTGGGACAACAGTAAAAATATTTACTCACATTTAATGGTTATAAATGTTATAAATAACACAATTTTAAAGGGAGTTAGTCTACATTTTTTTTTAATGGGATGGGATTGCATTGTCCATGATAACAACTAAATTTGGGACAGAAAAAAAGACTAAATAACATATTACCTACCAATTTGGTTGCTAGTAGTATGATGGCTAAGGAAAAACACAACTTATTGTTACAGCTTACAATATGGCTTTAACTTAAGGAAGTAGCCCCTTGGTTTTTTTTAGGCAATGGGGAAAAGTAGCCCCCATAAAAAAATTAATTCCTAGCCCGCGTGTCAGTGATAATATTTTCTTAGGATATGAAAAACGAACAGTTAAACAAAACACTCCTTTTGACAAGTTTTAGTTACATGTATATGTAAATCATAAAGCCACACGTTTAACACAAAGTGAATAAATCCTGGGTATCTGAATGTCTGCAATACTCTACATGACATATGTACGCTACAATTGTATCTATATTTGCCTTTGCTTGGAATTTAATTAGGTAAAACCGTGTTTAAAAAAAATACAACCTTAAAAAAAAAAAGCCCCCCTGAGCTCCAAAATAGCCACCGCAAAATAATTAAGGGGGGCTATTTTTTTAAGGGAAAATCTGAAAAGAGCCCTCGTAAAAAAAAAAGTAATTTTTTGGTTGGTGTCAGCAATCGGATTCTTGAAATAGAAGGTCTAGGCAATCAAAATCCATTGAAAAAAAAACTATAGACCCTAAAACAAGGTTAGGCCAATAATCTGCATGTGGCTGCCGGACTAAAAGCAGTAAACATTGATATACCGGTAATTGTTTGTATGCTCATTTTCAGTACTAAGAATTGCCACAAAGTCATACCAGTAGTTCAGTAAAAAAAGTCCATACCAACCAAAGGTTACTGGAGAAGAAGAAGAACCACTTTATTCACATTCAAGATTATCTTATTAGTTAACCCCCAAAAAGAAAAAAGGAACTCACCTCGACTTGTTCTTGGACTTTTCCAACTCTTGTAAGCCATCGACTTGTTGATGCAAGTCAAAAACTGCAAAAGGAAATATTAAAGGTAGTTTATCCCTTTTGCAGCTAACATCAAATTATGTAGAACTTTGTAGGAATAATGAATATGTCACGCATGTCCTATCTGTGAAATTTAAAGTTAGCAGTGTCATACTATTCAAATTATACAAGGAAACCTGTTTACTTTCTAGACTTCACTGTCAGACACTATTGAGTGACTGACTGACTTCTTTTTTTTCTTTGGTATAACATACATAAAATGACTGTAAAGGTACATGAGCATTTGTCTACATCAATAACCCACTTCTTGTAAAGGCCAAAATTAAACTGATTGAATCTTTGTGCAGCACAAAGCGTACAACCATTTGGTACAAGGGTCTGAAAATCAGACTATTTCATTAATACCCGTGAAAGCTAAATTTGATCCAACAAATAATGGTTGTTATCTTTCAAATGCCCTTGGAATTTAACCATTTCATTTTTTGGCCTGCAAACAGGACATAGTACCTTTAAGTCCACTTAATGTATGCAGCATTCAGATATTCGTGTAACTGATATTTGGTTTGTGGTTGGATTGTTTTATGGTTTTATTAAATATATTACTGGTACCTTGGGAGCAGTGTTCCACAGAATAATTAACATTCTGGAATCAAAATTTTTAACAGTCCATAACTTTGTGTAAATGTGAATGTATGACAATACAGATGTAAGAAATAAAAGATAATACCTGTTTCAGCAAAAATCTTTTGTTTTAAATGTTTTTATTGAAACTGTTTAATTGCTTGTCCTACTATTCAACATCAAATACAATACCATGTGCAAGTTATTATAACATGCAAATTTGTACATTTTTATGGATTATTATACTCATAAAAGATAAAAGATGTGTCTACACACCTAAATGTGCTCTATCTGAGATGCGTAGCCTCTCGCTCCAGTCCTCTAGTCCTTTTGATTTGGCCTTCTCCGCTTCCTCAAAGAGCCCTGGTATGTGAACCACCAGACCATTACCTGCAAGATTCCCATGTAAATCAAGTAAGTTGGATGATGAAATACATGAATGGAAAATACTTCATAGATAGAGATAGAGAGAGAGAGAGAGAGAGAGAGAGAGAGACGGGGGAAGGGGGGGGGGGGAGAAAGAGGGGGGAGAAGACTAAGGAGAAACCTACAACAAACTACTAAGTGCTCTAGATATTTATTTAGTGTACTAAGAAATTTACATATTCACAGATAAGTGAAGTCACTCATCCATTTTTTTATATTTTTGTGAGTTTATTATTGATCAGTTCAACCATCTACTGTGTGATAGAAATTAATTTTCCTATCATTCCTTAAAATTCTTGCAAGTTAAAGTCAATTTTTTTTTTTAATATGGTGGAAAAAATATCATTATATTTAACAAATAATGGACCTCTGTTCATGAAATGTCTACAGTATAACAAAATCCATGTGATCGCAATAAACTATTATCTCTTTAAAAATGTTTTTCTTCAATTAAATTGAAAGTATAGAAATGTGATAATAGTCACTTACCTATGACTGATGTACAGCCTTGGTGGATGATACCGCTTGGTAGAAGATGGAAGTCATATTCCTTGTCACCCACGACAACCGTGTGCCCGGCATTGTTTCCTCCCTGCACAAGATAAGATGATGCAAAGAGAAGAAAGAAAGAAAAGATAATGTAATCATGGATGAATTTGCACGAGACATAGAATCAAGAGATAACAGGATTGATTTGAATAGATAACACCAAACAAGAAGATATGTAGAGAATTGGAAAGAGAGAAATGCAACAACACAAATCAAGGTAATTTACATGGATCATGTTTTGTTGCCTCACTGCTTAAAGGCCCACTGCACTACTTGTAGCTACTTGCGCCCTCTATATACCAAACAATGCCTAATCGGTGACCGTTGGTCCCCCATGATCCTCTTTTTCTTATGTTAACTGAGAGCTGAGTTGATGAGATAACCACCTGTCCAGTCACCTTGCAGGGCGCTCTAATCCCTCCTGTAAACTACGGCAGATAAGCTTTAAATGGTGTTACAGTTAATGGTTGACAGTACATGGCATTAGAGTCTATTTATGCAGTGAGCATGCGATTTATCCCCTCCCCCCTAAAAAAAAACCCCTTATCATTTTCACTTTTCAAGAGCAGTTATACAGCAGGGTCTTTGCCAGTAGGACAATCATATTCTACTTGTATGCATGTAACAGATATTTTTCATGTACTTGCTTTTTGAATGAAAATGCACTTGCTTTTTGTATGAAAATGCACTTGTTGCAACAGGAATAAGTTATATACAATATGTTCTCAACCATTTCCCCTTTACATTATTATCTTTCAAAATACATACAAAGTGTATGCAGCATCAAAAAGCTCTCTTCTGGGGATAAGGCTGAGCATACATGTCATAGATATATCTGTCTACAATCTGGTTCTGGTATCACAGCCATCACAATACATATTGATAGCTGGATTTAATATTGTGAAAATTTAATAGTTGGATAATTACATGCATTTGACAGAAAAGCGCACAGTAGCAGGACAGGTAGAGAGGAAGTGAAATGTTATGAGATATTTATCTATTTTGGGTCTCTGCTTCCCAGTGAAAATTCAGAATGACCAACATTACCGGTATACTCAATCAAAGACTAAAGAATGACGTGGACCACGCAATCAGTGTTTGTCATCCCACCCCTTCTACCCATCAACAGATTAATGAGACGTAATTCAGGCCCTCTCCTCTCCTACCACTTATCTCAGATCCACTGGCAGCCAATTTCCGGTGACTTTAGCCAAATGCACTCCTCATTAATCCCAAATGGATGCGCTGCTGAAAGCGCATCTCACACGAGGAGGGGGAATCATTAAACATCACTCAATGAATGAAGACGTTGTTTGATCTGTCAGGCGCACGTGGGTGTCGTTGGATGTCGGGGGAGTGCGGGGGATGGGTTCTCGGATCTAGGTGAAATCACTGCAAAGTTGGGTGGGCATCTCCAATTAGCCATTGGTACGTTCTCGTTAGCATCAATAAAAAATGCCTGTTTACAGATTCATTGTATGACGTCCGTCCGTCCGAGAGAGAATGGCATGGAAGGTTAGGTAATCTAGTACAAGGATGCAGCCTACTCTTGAGTAACACTGCCAGGACTGACCAAGTCTGAATGCCCAATATATCCTACAAAACCGTCCCCCATTTTATTATCAACAAAATCCTGAAAGAATCTTTGTTGTTATAGGAATGGGACATCAGGAAGAAAAAAAATGAAGTATTCATATGACAAAGGGTGGTGGGAACGCCCAGATTGAAATCATAACAAAAGGCTGATATTCATCTTCAACCATGCAGAACTTGAACTTGTGAAAATGGTTTATTTATTCAGTATAACATTAAGGATAATACAATGCCACAGGGCTGAGGAAAAAGGGTCATGTACATACTGTGGGTGGTTTAAGTGTGAACCATCAAGTTACATATACTGTATGTACGAGCTATAAGCTTTTTACAATACAATAACTTTTTTTTTCCTAATTTGTTCTAATAGTAAGTAATTTACTGAAAAAATAGTGAGTAAGGATGGAAATCTTATTCCTAAATTGTTATCATCTGCTGAAATCCAAAAGGTATCTCCTCCATTATCATTTCTTGATAGTATAAACATTCACTACTTCAGGTGTTCATTAGATGCAACTATGAAAGTACTGGTAGTTTGAAAAAATTATATACATTATAAAGAATTATGTTACCTGCTTGCCCCTTTAAATTGTGAATAGAATGCCTTTGCGACAATTACCAGTACCTACAGTTTCACTGTGACATTGTCAGAAAATTATTTCACTTTTTGCTAGATATTTGTGTTTGCAATTTTGACTTATAACATTTTCTTTAAACCATCATTCCCCCAAATGTCAAAGACACCTTTAAATTTAAGTCTAGTTCGGAGTTTAAACTAGATGGAATTTTGACTGCGTGCAGTCGAAAATGATGCCTCCGCCATAAAGCAATTTTAAAAATTCAAGTTTGATTGTAATCCATCTGTCGGTTTTAATGATAATGCACTCACAAGCTATTTATAGGCATACATGTACATAATGAGCCCCATGGCCTTTGACCTGATGACCCTAAAATTAATCAGTTCATTGGCTCTGCAAGATACATCTATACATGTCTTGAGTTTGATATTAATCTGTCTATTGGTTCTCATGATAATGCGATCACAAGCTATTTGTGCATACATGAGCCCTGTGGCCTTTGACAATTCAAATATACATGTAAACATTTTATAAATATTTATTTGGGGAGGTAGGGGGGGGGGGCTCAGACATCGGAACTCGCATATCATTGACCAAAAAAATATATTTCGTGGATCTCAGATATCATTGAGACCCCCAAATATTTTGGCGGGACTCTGATATCATTGAGCACCGCCCCCCCCCCCCCCATATTTTGATGGGGCTCAGATATCATCAGACCCCCAATTATATTTGGTAAGGCTAGGATAATGTCACGGAGCCCCCGATATTTGTGAGGGGCTCAGATATCATTGAGCCCCCCCCCCCACCAATATTTTGGCTGGGCTCGGTTATCATGAGCCCCCCCCCCCCCCTAATATTTTGTTCAGGCTCGGATAGGCTATCATTGACCCCGCCCTCCCCAAATATATTTGCACACTTATGTTCTGGGCTGGAAGCTTCATGCGTTTCTATAATCTACTGATCGACTTATTATTCAAATTATTATTAAAACTGCTCAAGAGTTTATGAATTTTGGAAGATTGATTGAGGGGGGCTCCTTTGTCAACAACCAGTATTGTCTCAACACACGTACTGCACACCAGCCTTGCTTTGCATTGCCATTGGAGTAAGATCATGACAGGCACGTCTTTATCTCCCCGGACTTCACCAAGTAAGTTTTTTTTTATAATTCATTACCCTTTTTTAATCAGATCTGATGAAGCCCCCACCACCTCAATACGCCTCAGCTTGACGACAATTCAACACTGGATCTGAAAACGCTTACAGCTTAGTTATATTCTTATATAATTGCTCTTTTCATCTTTTATAAATGCCCGTTATTTTAACACTGCCCCTTTTCCTTCCTAATAATACCCTTTTTCCTTATAAGTGCCCTTTCCCCTTCTCATAATTACCACTTTTCGTGTTTGATAAGTGCCCTGTTTCTTTTTCTTTTTAATAAGAGTCACTTCCCCTTCTCATTACCCTTTGAACAATGATATGTGCCCAATTTACTTTCTAATAAAGAACCTATCCCTCTTTTCATAAATGCCCCATCAAAATCTGATGGGTGCCTCTTTTCTGTCGACAAATGCCCATTTCCTTTTCATCCCTGGTGCATGCCTCTTTTTTTTTAGGTGTAAGAAGTGCCCCATTTTAACCTCTGATAATTAGCCTTTGTACTTTGTCCCGTGCTCCTTTTCTTTTCTAATAAGTGTCTTAACCCTTTCGATAAGTGTCCCCTGTTCCTCACATCATTAAACGTGCCCCTAATTTCAAGCGACTAAAAGCAATTTCCCCCAAAGCTCGCTCGCTACGCTCGCTCGTAGATATAGATGTTATATGTATGAGATACATACTTGATCCAAGTTTGGAGGGAATACATCAATTGGTTCTTGAGATAACGCGATCACGAGAACGGGACGGACGGACGTACTGATGTACGTACATACGGACGGACGGACAACCAGAAAACATAATGCCTCCGGCTACTTTGTAGTGGAGGCATAAAAATACAGGTAATGTGACAATATCTACATATATCTGATCATGAAATTATTAAATTAAATCTGTTTTTATAAGACACAATTCAGTAATAAAACCAATAATATAATTATTGCAAATGATATCTTGCTTTGTCTTTCTTCCTCTATAGCTTCTATCAAGAAATCAAACTTCAACTGTAAGGCAATAATAACAGACCAACAGAGGATCTAAATATGAACAACACGCTTCTCTCAGTCCCTATCATAAGACCTCCTGCGGTAAAAGGGCAATGTATAATGTACATTGAGTATGACTGACAGCTGACATTTAAGCAACTCCAGCAATCACAGATTGAATGCTACTGGATTTCAACAGAGTAAGTTTGATTGCAGTGATAAGAGGCTTCTTAGTGCTGACAAAGATCATCTTTTCTCTAATGCTCTTCTTATCTTGATCATCTTGTTCCACTGTATTCCAGTACCTAAAGTCTTCCCTCAGTTAATATTTGCATTAAAAAAAACATGATGAAAAATCTTTCAGAGAAGAGTTATTTGATACAAAACTTTTGATTTATTACATCTGTGTTGAACAGGTAAATGTGTATTGTTCTCCAGTTTTCATTGGCTTTAATTGGGTTATTAGAAACATTCTATGGATTAATAAACATGTACACATGCAGACATAGGGTGCGTTTAATCGACACTTTTTCACCCTAGAATCACGGTTTCTAAAGACGTTTAGTTTAAAACGCAATGCGTTCAAGCGATTTTTTCGTCGGTCGTAAAAATAAACGTGTTTGAAAACACAAACATGAAACGCTGAAAAAGATGCGTTTTGTATCATGATTCAAAAGAATCACGGTCGCTAAAATTCGATTGAACGGACGGAGTTCTCAATCATGATT